CAATAACATTTAAAAAGAAAAACCTATTCCACCTTTTTGAGTGATTGGAGAATGACCAGCGGTCTTTCATAACTCAGTTTATGAAATAACATGCCAGTGAAATAATACACAATTTATAATTTGGGGTTAATTTGAGGGAAGCAGGGGGGAGAGAAGCTATAAACCTGATGCACACAGATGTAGACTTCTGTCACAGATGAATCAGGAATTTTGAGAGGAAGAAAACAGAGCACTCTTGGAAAAGGGAAACCACACAAGTTGGGGGAGACCCCAAAGACAACCATGAGAACTTGGGTCAGGGCACCAGAAAAGCTGAGAGTGCGCCTTGAGGAGAAAGGAAAACTGCCTTTAATTTGGCAGGAAATGTCTTGGGGTCCAGCGTGGTGTCTATTGACTTCATCTCCTTCAAAGATTATTCTCCTCTTGGTTACACCAGAGAAAATTAACTTTATAGGACTAGTAAGGACACTAAAGAGTAGGGGCTGAGATGAGAAATTGTTCTTAGCTGCACAGCAGGTGAGTTGAATGATTCCAGTTTCAAGTTGTCATTAAGAAGTGAACTTGGGGGCGCCTGGGTGGCTCAGTCGTTAAGCGTCTGCCTTCGGCTCAGGTCATGATCTCAGGGTCCTGGGATGGAGCCCCGCATCGGGCTTCCTGCTTGGCGGGAAGCCTGCTTCTCCCTCTCCCATTCCCCCTGCTTGTGTTCCCTCTCTTGCTGTGTATCTCTCTGTCAAATAAATAAATAAAATCTTTAAAAAAAAAAAAAGTGAACTTGGAAGGACATAGTAAAGAGTCACCACTGAGGAACCATCGCCATTATATAAAATCTTCTCAGAGGCTGAAGTCTGTGTCAAAGTTATGGCTTCGGCTGATATACTCTGACATAAGAAGAGTAAATTTCCCTTCTTTTACCTTTTGGCACATCCCGAAAGGCAGTCAGAATATAAATGTCTGTTCCGCTGTTCCGATGACACAGAAACGCTCGCATTCAGAAGTACAGCCTGGTATACCATACAGCGCGACTGAAAGGCCAGAAGCAGGACTCGGCCACACGCACCATGGGCTCTGCTCTGCCTCTCTCGGGGCAAATGGCAGTCTCAGTGTTGAGTCCTGAGTAGCACTTGACTTTTTCATGTGTGCTTATATATGTACATGTTCATACATATATATGAAAAAGAAAATAACAATTGCACAGCAAAACACTTCTGCAGTGTACAGCATAAAAACTTCAAAAGTGATATGGTGAAAATTTCGTTTCTTCATCATCCCTGACAATTTTATGGTTCCTTATGTGTTTGTCCAGAGATACTCTACCAAGGTGCCACCGCCAGCCTATTCCTTTTCCTGCCATAGCGAAGCACTTTATTTCAGACAACTGTGTATTTAAAAGTATCCAATTATAGTTACTGGCCATGCGGGTCAGGGCGGCCAGAGCCAGTGGTCCTGCACGCTGAGATGCATCAAAGCCTTATTAAAAATGTTTGGATCCCCGTGAAGCCCTGCTTATACCTAAGTTTACCAGGAGATTTGGGTAGGAATGGGGTTGAATGGCCTTCATCTTTTAGGAAATCAGGAGTGCGGATAAAAGAAATAAAGATTTCAGAGCTTCAAGTTCTGCACCTGCTCGTGGTCATCATTAACCAGCTTTACTTGGAATGCACATCAGGTGGAACGCCAGTCTGGCTATAAATTGCAGCAAGCTCTCTTAGATGGGAATGTGGAACGTCCCTCGCTGTACGCTTGCAGGGCCATTTCCTGCGGGGCCTGAAGAAATGTACCTGTGAGATGCAAAAAATAAATCAAACTGTTCGATTATATATTAAACATGAAAAACAAGTAACAATGGCGTTTATAGTTTCTATTTTTGTAAACTACTAAGACATTAGAGGAAAAATGTAGCACAATAATGTACCAGATGTTAACAGTGTTATCTAGGGTGGGGTTATTAGGTGTGGGATGAGGGCGGGATGGCATGAGGAATGGACCTTCTTCAGTAGCCAACTCAGAGTTAGTGTTATGTGAACTTTTTTTTTTAAGATTTTATTTATTATTTATTTGACACAGAGAGACAGTGAGAGAGAAAGAGAACACAAGCAGGGGGAGTGGGAGAGGGAGAAGCAGGCTTCCTGCGGAGCAGGGAGCCTGATGCGGGGTTCAATCCCAGGACCCTGGGATCATGACCTGAGCCACCCAGGCGCCCCGTGTTATGTGAAGTTACTAAAATAAGAGCATATCTTAATTTCATAATAAATATGGTTCTAATGTACAGTTAAGTTTTCAAGAGGTCTTCTGAGTATGTAACTATGTATATGTGTGTGAGGACTTTGTTTCTTTAGACTTCAGTTGTCCGTGGTTGTCTTTCTAAGGCCTTAGTGAACTGTCCTCTGTCCTTACTTTGAAATAAGGATACCAAGTTGATCAAAAAATAAATTCTTAGAGCAGAGTAGTTTTTATTCAAGCCACAGGGCCTCACAAACAAGTTAATCAAAAAGCAGAGGGATTGGGTGGGGGAGACGGATGGCAGAGTCTGTGTTAAATCATGTATATTTTATTTCTAGTCATAAATCCCTCTAGTGAAGACATACCATTTTCTTTCATACTTTTCAGAACACTCTCCAGTTAACAACAACAACAAAAAAGCACGATAGAACAATCCTTTGCTGTTTTTAACTAGGGGTATTAATTTTATATCTTAACTAGTTGAGGCATTTGGTTTCCAACGTAAAGGATCACACAAAATACATATAATGGGTAAGAATGCACTCAGCATGTAGCATCTCTTGAGAGCAACTTGATAGAATATTCATAGTGAATTTTAAAACTTAGTCCTCATTAACTGACTCATCCCATTTCCCTGAATGTGTTTTGTAAAAATCAGTTATATACTGGAATGTTTAACCTGGTAAATTTTATTTTTAACATTATTCATAAACATATGAAACATTAAGGGAATCTCAGTGTCCAAAATGGATGGTTAGAGAAATTTTGGTATGTAACTAGGGCCAAGATGGTTTATGATGAGCTGTTAGCTTCAGTAAATAAAGTTTTGAAGACAGTTGATAGCATGAGAAATTATTTAATAACAAAATTATGTTAAATATAAAAGGAGGATATAAATCTTCATACCTTAATTTGTCAAAAGTGTGTATTATCTATTTTTTATACAGACTTAAGTTGGTAAAGAAAATAATTAGGGTTTTTTTTTTTCTTTCTTTCTTAAGCTATTGGTAGGAATAGCTTTCTTTTTAAATGATTTCCTTCCCTCAAAATAACTAAAAATTCTAGTCCTTAGGAGGATTCTTTAATTTCAAATATTGTCAGTAGTCATTTGAAATTCTGTTTTGGTACCATATCTGTTTTTTCTGTATTGAGATGTAATTGACATATAGCGTGTATAAGTTGTACAGCATAATGACTTGATTTACTTGTGTCATGACCATGAACCAAAATAGTTTCACTAGCGTCCATCATCTTATGTAATTGATTTTAGTCTTTAAAAATTCCAAAGATGAACTTGGATTGGCAGTAATTCTTTCCTTTGGTCCAATGGACTTTTGCCCTCTTCACTGCTTAGAGAATATCCTTTTGTCATTGGGCTTTATAAGTCTCTCTACAGAGCTACCTTCGTTCACTCGTGTTAGTCTTTTCTCTTCTGGGGACACCTTTATGAGTTAGACTTCTGTAATTTTTTTCTGGTTCCCAGATGTATTTTCTGTTTTAAGGCAGAGAAGCTTGTCATTATTGTCAAGTTATGTTAGATTTCCAGCGTAATTATTTAAAAGCCATAGAGAGACCTATTGATCCTTGATAAGGTGTAGTTCTGTGCACATGTGTGTTTACTCCTACTGCTCCTTAGTTTAACTGTTCATAATATGCCCTCTGTGGATTCATTATGTTATAAGTCAGGGACAAGTGGCATTTGTGTATGTCTGCTCTGTGAATGTGAATCGATAGATGACATATGAATACACATCCTGGTGGTAATATAAAATAGAAGCCACGTGTGCATGCATGCATGTGTGTGTGTGTAGTCATGATTGAAGTTCAAAGTCACAGAGAGGCAGTGGAGTAAGTTGCAAAATAGCCCTTTCCTTGAAGGGAATGTGCTTGAGTACGAAACAGAACTCTCTGTTAGTTTTACATTTCTGTTTGGTGCAATATAAGGTTATGGAAACGACTGGAAAAATAATTTGAAAGAAGTCTGGATGCAGAAATCCGATAGAGAAAATATTTGAGAATATGGTTCATCAGCGAGTGCAACAGATATACTTCCCCAAGCACCACATGGCGTGGATCAAAGCATCCCATGACTTGGATCCTTGTGGTCAAATCATTATGTATTGATTGGAACCCCATTGGAGGATTAACCCCTCGTGTTCATGCCAAGTTTTTTCTCACTCTTGGTGTCTATAATTTTAGGGCTATAATCTTTCTGCAGTTATCAGTGTCTTTTTAAAGCTAATCATCTACTTGGATATATTTGTCTTTCTAAATTATTTTATTCTAAATTATTTCATTGCTCTATTCTTTGCTTGATAAAATTAATTTATGAAACGATCATACAATTATGTGAAAGCAGTTTTTTGGTGGAAGGGAGGAGGAAAATATATTCTGGGTAGAGAACAGCAAGAGAATCTCAAAATCAAGTACAGATTTTATCATTTTCATTATGTAGATTAAATGATAAATTCTAGCTTTTTAAAGAATCCTTCACAGCCTGAGTGTGGAGAGCTTTGCCTCTAACAAAAGCCTGTCAAACACTTTTCATACATGGTGGTCACATTTCTAACATTGGACTATTCACATTTTGGAATTTAACTCTTCCTTTTAAATAACAATTTGGAAATAGTAAATTCATGGGGAAAAAGACCCTCGGTTCCTCCATGTCCACTTTCAGCCATGTGGATTCCTCTTGCCTTTTAAGTCTGGGGGGATGGTTCTTGGCAACATATTCATTCTCTTGTCCTTTTGTGTGTGTGTGTGTGTGTTTTTTTTTTCAGTTTGTCCCATGAGGAGCATCCCCATAGTCATCCTCTCTATGGACATGGTGTATGCAAGTGGCCAGGCTGTGAAGCAGTTTGTGAAGATTTCCAATCATTCCTAAAGTAAGAATGATTTTATATTGCTTTTTTCTTTTACATAGCCATCACCTCCCGCTGCTCATGCTTTTCCTCATAAAATGCCTTTTTGATGGAGGGTTCCACACCACCATTTTGAGGATGGACTCTAAATCATGAGGTCTAGTGCATTGTCATAGGAATAGTTACAGAATTTGCCAAGGGTTGAGTGTAAAGGGCAAACGAGGTATAAGCAAGGACAGTTTTGATGCTGTTCGTAAGGGTCTGTGTTTACCCATTTTCTCAGAATGACAGTGATTAAATGAAAATTCTCCCAGTATTAAATTTGCAGTAATTTAGTTTTCACTTTTATTCATGTGTCTGCATACTGAATCACTGACCTACTAACTCTGATTTTTTAAAACTGCTGTCAGTTACTGGCCAGTGGTAGCTTGGTGATTGGGCCTCTTTGTTTTTTCTTCAAATGACCTTATAAACTCAAGAAATGGGTGCCAAGGAAATGCTACCACCTTGCTTCTTACCTTTCCATATTGACGTTGGCTTTAGCTTGGATTCTTGTCCTTTTGGAGAGAATGGAGTAACTTTAATTTCTACAATTAAAGTGTGACTGAAACTTGGGTTACTCCATTTGAATCTGTAAGGCTGTTAAAGTATCTCTGTAAATAAATGATACATGAATCTTCTCCTAGTTGAAGTGAAAGGTTTCTGCACTACATCTTATGATTTCCCTTCCCTACCGTTACCTTGTCTTTTAATAAAATTTAGACTAAACCACCCTGTGTTATGGACACCCCCATAAATTTATTGATAGTATCATTGAATCATTGACAGATGGACCGAAAATAATAATACATTATATTTAGTATATTTACATATCATGCAGTAATCCATCGTATGTGCACTTATCACTCCTTTAAATCTGGCTTCATGATGGCTTACAAATTGGGTTTTTGGGGTCTTTCCTTCTGTCTCTTCTCTCTCATTCAAGCCTCTAGAACTAGAAGCAGGCTGATTCATGTGCAGTTTTCTAGTTTTGTGCGGTCTTTATGTTGTTAAAGCAATCTCTCTATTTAGCTTTATGGACCTGGATACAAATATTATAAGAACCTACCCTTAAAGGTACATCCAGTGTTACCTGAAAGGAGCTTTGGTGAATATCGTTTTTTAATTAATGAAGCCTGTGAATCTAATTCAGAGCTTCCCAGCTTTAATATTTTACTTGAAAAGCATGAGGCAGTCATTAGAAACTTCAGTACTAAATTTTTTTAAAAAGAGATGCCTGAAATTTGTTTAAATATCAACATTCAAGAACAGTGATACTTCAGAGTAAGCAAAAGCCCTTTACAATTATTATGATTCAAGTTAGTGTTATTGGGCTTTGTTCTCTTATAAATCACTCATTATAAATCATTATTTTGTTACTGCCTAATTGTATTTAGATAGTGAGAGAAAAAGACCTCGGTAGAAGCCACTTTCAAATTCTGATTTCACCTTCTGCACCAGTGCTAGCTTTGATGAATGTATTGGTGCTAATTTCGCTCTTCTGTAGAATGGCTGATAACCATCTGTAAATAAGATTTATTTTCATAAAGTCTCTAGAAATATACAATTGCTATGAACATTCTCAGTCTATCAGTTTTAGAGTCACAAGGGGAAAGGGCAGTTTTCCAATATGATCCATTTGAAAATGTTAATTACCGAAGTATTTCCACCCTCATCCTCAAATCAGAAGTCCATTTATTATATAAACTGACAGTTATGTGATATGTATAGAGATATAGATGTATAAAAATGTATATATTATATATATTTTTATTATATAATACATATTTATTATATATAATATTACATATATATAATCTTTTTTTTCCTTCTGTGCCTCCACCATTTGATAGCACAATTTCAAACCACACCTCATACTAAAGAAAAGAATCTAAAGATCATCAGAATTAGGGCCTAGGCCAATTCCTTTAAAAAAAAAAAAAAGCCCCTTCTAAGGATATTAGGAAGCTGGCTCTTTATAGGAAATGACCTCTCAATTCTTTATTGTGGTTTTGCACATGAAATGACATGTTCTCAGTTCATATTTGCTCAGTGGAATTGGAATGCCCACTATGAACCTGCAACTGTTGCTTGTTTATTTCCTCAGACTTATTTGTCGATGTGTATTTGTTAGAAGACTTTTGTTTGCAAGCTACAGAAACCTGACTTAAATTGGTTTAACCCCTCATCCTTTCCCCCCAACTAAAAAAGCCGGGGGGTAGGGAATGATAATTGACTCTTGTAACTGGGAAGTCCATGGCTGGATTCAGATGCTTAAGCAGTGTTGTGGGAGTATTGGTTCTGTGTCTCTTAGCTCAGTTTTCTTCTGTGTTGCCTTTGTTCTAAGGCTCTTTCCAAGTAGAGCTAAGGAAGACAATGCCATGCCGTAAGTTTATTCATCTCAGAGTGCATCTCTTTTCCCGTAGTGCCAGCAACAGTCCTGGGCAGACTGTCATTGACCCAGATTGAGTCGTGTGTTCCAGCTTTGAGCCAGTCACAGCGATGTAGCCAGGCTCCCATCAGATGCCCACCTCCAGAGCAGATAGAGCTGTGTTCACCCCACGTGAACCACATGGGGGCTAGGGAGGAGAGACTTGGTTCCTGAGTGTGAAAAATGAGTATGTAAATCAGCAAAGGGAGAGTAAATGCTGAAGAAAAAAAAAAAAAGTAACCTAGAACTCACTGTTCTCTTACTGCTTTCTTCAGTTACACATTGATTGGCCATATATGACGAATTCAGGATTCTGAGTTTCCTCTCTAGCATGATTTTAGCTCTTGGAAATTCAGAGTTGTCTTCAGGTTTCAGTGTCTTGCTTAATGTAGTGGAAAATAAGTTAGTCTTCTTGCAGATTCACTTCTACCACATCTCTAGGCATCTAAAGAGTAATCAGTGGCTTTAGTGAAACCAACTTTGCTTTCCATTGAACTGGACTGGAAGAGCTACCGTATTTCGTGTGGGTCAAACAGAGAAACCACGTGGCCTCTTTGACTCATGTCACCATGGAGTCATTGTTATTGGGAAGTGATGTTTTAAGCATTTCTTCTCTAACTGTGCCAGATTGTAGATTCTGGAAGCACCTGTTTCTTGGGTTCACTCTTCTTTTCCATTATCCCTCTCCTAGAGGTGTTTTCTTATGGTTTAAGCAGGTTGATAATCAGCAGTTCTTGGATTCTCCAAGGCACTCCTACTCAGCAAAATGTAGTATTACTCTGACCTTGACTTAGTTGTTGCTTTCTAGTTTTTTTTCCCACCTACCTTCTGATCCCCTGATTTTACCCTCCCCTAGTAAGAGTTTATAATTAAACATCTGTGCAACAGGGACAGTTCCAAGTACTTCACATATGCAGTTGACCCTTGAACAATACAGATTTGTTGCAGAGATCCACTAACATGCACATTTTTGTTTTCCAATAAATACAGTAGTTTTATAAATATATTTTCTTTTCTCATGATTTTCTTAATATTTTCTTTTCTGCTATAGCTTACTTTATTGGAATCTACCATATAATACATACAATATATAAATATGTGTTAATTGGCTTTTTATGTTGTTGGTAAGTCTTCCTGTGAACAGTAGGCTATTAGTAGTTAAGTTTTTGGGGAGTCAAAATTACAGATATTTGCTACGTGAGGGGGTCAGGGTTCCTAACTCCCACATTTCTCAAGGGTCAACTGTCTAACTCATTTAATCCTCAAGCCACCTTGATAATATTAAGGTATTACTCTCAGATAAGGATAAGGAAAGGGACAGATAAGGAAACTGACACAGAGGGGTTAAGTGATTTTCCCCAGTGTCACACAGCTAGTAAGAGCTGGAGTCAAGATCCAAAGCCAAGCTGTCTATCTGCCTTTGTAGTTCAGTGCCTGCTCTTAACTGCTGTACAGTACTGCCTGCTTAGAAGCAGTGCAGCTTATTAACTACATGCTTTCAACTTTAGGCAGTAGGTGTAGAACAAGCTTTGAAGCAAAGGCAGATTGGGTGGTGAAGCCACTTTGTATTAGTGTGTTCTTTGAGGTAGTTCCATAGCATCTCTGAGCATCAATACCCGCACATGTAATTTGGGATAATAATATTAGTACCCCACCTCTCAGGGTTGTTGGAATTAAGAGGTAAATCATGTAAAGTGCCCGACCCATACCATTCTTTTCTTATCTATCCACTTACATATATTTTTAAAGGAGGGATAGTTTTAAAAATCCCAACATTTCTGGGGCGCCTGGGTGGCTCAGATGGTTGGGCATCTGCCTTCGGCTCGGGTCATGATCCCAGGGTCCTGGGATCGAGTCCCGCTTTGGGCTCCCTGCTCTGCGGGGAGCCTGCTTCTCCCTCTGCCTCTGCCTCTCTCTCTCTCTCTCTCTCTGACTTTCATGAATAAATAAATAAAACATTTAAAAAAAAAAAATCCCAACATTTCTGACCATTCCTAGGAAAGGTATCGTGACGCCGCAGAGCATTACTCTGTCAGAAGAGACTAATCTTTAATACAAATTTTTTAACCATAAAGTTCTTGTCAAAAGTCCCACATAGTCAAATGTGATGGGGGTGGGGAAGCAAGTAATGGCAAGCTTTTTCTGTAAAGGATCAGACAGTAAATATGCTGGGTTTCACAACTCCTCACCTCTGCCATCGTGGCATAAAAGCAGCCGTAGGACCGTATGTAAGGAATGGGCATTTAGATTGCTGACCTCTGACCTAGGGTAAACTTTTTTTGGCATCGTAACATTCGTAGCTGAGAAATCTTTTTGTATTTCCTTGGCCGTTGCTATCCTGGGTTATTTTAGTCTAGATTCACAGAGCCCTTAGGTTTATTCATATTTTGAGGAAACATCCATGCATGCCTTGCCCTGTTACTTCATTCACCAGCCACAGTTTTTATACTTAGGTGGGCTTGGGTTTTTCCACCTGGTTTTTAGGTCTCCGTATGAAAGGAGAAAGTGACTTTGCTCAGTAACTGTTCCTTGACCCTGTTTTGCTCAGGCTCAT